GCCGCCTCATGTATAAGCGACATTGTTTTTGTATTTAAAAAAATGGTTAAATCATTACGACACATGGCCACAAGTATTGGGTTCCCGGTAAAGTCCTAATTAGCTACGGTAGCCTGAAGTAGTTTTGTAACCATCAGTCTATGATAAAATCCCGTTAGATACACAATACGTACTTCATCTGAGATCTAAGGAGAAAGGTTATCAAATTTTCAAAATATAACATTTGATATCGATCTCCTGTTTACATTGTCTAAATTGAATTCTGTTATTGATTTGAATAAAGATTATCCTGTGTGTAATGCTTTATCAAAGGGGAAATTTACGTCAATCTGAACGCAAGATTACAGAAATATCTTATTGACTAACCGCTGCGTCCACGAAACGGAAGCAATAGGGAAGTAAACGATATTGGATCGTATGTTATAGCCACGGGGGAATGTCGAAAGAAGTTTCAAAGAATAAGGAATGTGGCAAGCCTACTATATTTGGTTGGAACACTAAGGCAGACATTGAATGATTATAACGATAACTCGAACGCAAATGTTCAGTAGGGAAACAAATAAAGAGTTTGCCGATTATTCACAGGCGTTGTTTGACAGTTTGGGACCCGCAGCTTTTAAAACGCAAGAACAAAAGAATATGCTTGAAAAGAAACGAATTGTTCTCACTTTCAGACGCCCACGTTCTGTCATTGATTTTAAACAGTGAATTAATCAAGAACTCAATTCAGAGAAATACACGATACTGCTGTTGATCTTTTCTTTGAAGATTCTACAAAGAACAACAGAGAAAGACAGGCGCATATCACCATCAAAAGATTGATCACTTTGCAGACATAGAACTTAAAATAGAAAGGCTTTTTTTCCCCAACACATGTTCCATGAATTCAATTTTCTTATTCGTAATTATAAACAGTAAAATAATATTGTTAGAAAAAAAGAAAAGAAAAGAGTACTGAACTTTTATGCAATATAAATCCTCATATCTAGCAGAGAAGGATGAACAATCTCATCACAGATGAATACGATTGAAACAACAGAAATATGCCTCTACAGAAGGATACTGAGAATATCATGGAACAAAGATGATGTTCTAGAGACAATAAGATATTTAAAAAGTGTTTTAACAGAGGACGAAAAGGGCGGCACTGAAATCCGAAGACGCATTGGGATCGAAAAAGATGCCTTCCAAAATCTAAGCAGAGTATCAAGAAATAGAAAAGCTTCGTTAGAAACAAGGAAAAGTGTACTAAACTGCTACGTGATATCTGTTCTCCTGCATGGCGGCGAGTGCAGGACTAGAAGTGACTTGAAACAACAAAAATGTGGATCTACAGACGGATGATGAGGATACAATGAACCGATTATGTGAGCGACGATGTTCTAGAACAAATAGTAACAAAAAAGACACATATACGTAACATCAGGAAGAGTCAGTTGAAATTCCTAGAGTACATAAAGAGAGCATGACATATTTGATACTCACAGAACAGAATGCCGGTAAGGGCTACTGATGAAAGCAACCTCTGACCTACCTGGCGAGCTTTAGTAAACGGAAGGCGGGCTGGGTTTTGGGAAAGATAACGAAAAGACAAAATTATTAAGAGCTATAAAGGACAGGAAATCGTGAAGAGACATAATCGCCAACGTCCTAAATTGACATGGCAGATAGAAAAGAGAAAGGTTTAATATAAAGTTTCTGTAAAGTTTCGATGCCGGGCCTTCAAGCTGATATAGTGACCCATCCCTCACTTTTCAACCATTTTCACACTTTGTAGTGGAAGACGGCGCCATATTCTTGTCAACTTGTCGGACGCTGTATAACTTTGGCCGATGTTCAGAATATTCAGGTTTTTTTAAAAAAAATTTAATCAGTTTACCCCAAGCAAGGCGATAATGCCACTAAGACGCAAAGGGCTACTGGGAGTGAAAGAGAATGAAAATACTTTAGACGAAACCGGAAGCCCAATTCTAAACAAGGAACAGGGGATAAAGCTTTACAACTGTTTAAAAACCGGGGAGGTGGGTGATCCGAGCGATAGGCGAACCTATCTACTCCTACTGAGGAGAAAATATAATTAGTGAATAAAAGTTCTGAGTTTTAGACGGAGACGTTAGAAGTATAAAGTTGAAGTCGACTTTAGAAGCAACCGGAAATCCAACCCTAAACAAGAAACAAAGGAAATAATTCTACTTTAAAAGAACAGGAACGAGTGTGAACTGGGCAATAGGCGAACCTATCTATTTCTAGTATAATTGAGATTGTTTGCAAAGGGGAGGTAATTTTTTTAGCTGCATGGTTGGGGATCCCATCTCACACTGGCCATTTATCACTTTCGACCTCATGCGGAGGTAAGAAAATCTTGTTATAATTCACGAAATGTTTATTTTTTTTTAAATTTTTCTTTGTCATCGAATAACACAAAAATGGCTATAGCCCCACCTGGTTTTCTATGAATACGAATGGACTCCGGAGAGTATTCTTCTACATATTAGTTCTTGAAAATTGGAAAATTTCTTAATTCCGATCGGTTCAATTTACAATGTAAATATAACGCCAAACTGAATCATTTTTATTTTTTGAATCTTGTTGCATGTTGATTAACCTTATAAACAATGCTCCGTGTTAAAAAACTAAAGTCTTAATTTCTTTTAATAATTTTTTTCGAATCTTTTTTTTTCAACTCGCTTATTGTTTACATTAGTAGTATGAGCAATCGCCACCAAGGGTCCATAAACGTTTCAGCTTTAACCCTAGTACACTAACCATGGTTATATAGTACTCAGCGCATATTTTCCTATTTTTAATTACAATTTTTAGTACTTGATTTTCTTACCTAAATAAAATGTTTTTCAGTTTCTATTAATGTTAACTCAAAGTACAAAGTTTGAAGTGCCTGCATGTAAAATATTTCAAATAAAGTTTTATATTTAATATTGTTTTTGATATTTTCAAAATCGGGTATGATATACCCATAGTTAGTAAACTTTAATTGATGGTTAGTGTTCTAGGGTTAAATAACCTCAAAAGGTTGATAAACTGTAAGAAACAAATCATTCAATCAATCAATAAATTTCCATGATCTCTCATTGGAGCCAATGGCACAATTTAAGAAAGTTGATTTTTGTAATTACGGTAATTCTTAAGTTTTTTAATACTAAATTCCATCCAATACAAGGCTCAATCGCCACTCAAGGTAAAGGGTTACTGAAATGAGGTATGTGATATCAGTTATTGACCCTTGACGTGAAATGGTTAAGATTGTAGAGTTCAAGGAAGCATACACGCGAAAGTAGCAGTTCTTAAGAAAAAGCTGTCCGGGTGAAATGGAACATGGAGGACTTATGGGTGATTCAATTCTGCGGACGTAGAGTCTTGCCTGTAAATGTCTGAACTGGTGAAATTAACGAATAAAGCTTATCTGAACATTTTCCATGGAAATAGTGGAGGGCTTTCAACATTGGATAATACCGCGTATATGATTTTGAAATTTGCGTTAAAGTGAGGATTGGAAATCTCCAATATTCGATTTGCTGTTTTCGGCCTATCGCAAGAGCACCGAAGTTAAGCAACGTCGGGATTAGTCAATACCTATATGGGTGACCGCTTGGGAATACCAGGTGCTGTAAGCTTGGGTGTGCGAGTGGTGTAATGGATAACAATTCGGAATTGGAAATCGGAGAATCGAGTTTCAGTTCCAGTCAGGTTCTTTATATTCACTTACGCGAAATGCCCCTGGGAAAGGCATGAATCCAACTCTTCTCCCTACGATTATGGGTTAATTATTAAGACTTTCAGTAAATCATTATTATCTCCAAAAAATTATTACAACTATTTCAGGTTTTAAATAACTTGCAAAAGGTTGATAAACCGTAAAACACAAATCAGTCAATTAATATAACTTAGGTTTGGTTCTCCAAATAAATGTAAACTGAAGTAAGCTCAAAATTACATAGCAGGACATTGGTTAGCCAGATGGCGTATGTGTGACGTAATAGGTACAAAGATAGTGTAGGTGTGACAAGGTTAATGCAGCAGCTATTGGAAGTAAACAGGATGTAACACTGACTATGGTGTGACTGTGATGCCGGAAAGAAGAGTCCCTATAGCTGAGAGTTAACAAATTCTCTTTCTTTTCCGTGGTGATAAGAGTAGCAAGGGAATATTTGAATTTTGAGCAGATATCATCGGAATGGGATGGCAGCCATCCGGTAAAGGAAAACATTGTATGACAACTTAGTTATAAGTCACGCACTGTTGAACGCCCTCTGTAGCTATCCACCGACCAGTAAAAGTACTAACATTGACATCACAGCATCGTTTACATTGGTAGTACAAATCTTACTGTCTTGCTTTTTTGTGGCTCTTTAAACGGACGGTCGAATTCGTGTGTGAAGTAGACTTCATGGGAATATGGATTCAGTCTAGCAGTCGGTGATGACTCTGTAAGGCGGTGATGGCTCTGTAAGGATGTTGGGCGTGTCCAGATGGAGCTCACGAAGACCACAAATGCAAAGTCTCATGATAAATTTTTATATGCTTATATTTTTTTCACCGGTGGTGAAGATTTCTTCTAGCAGCATGATGCAATCCCACCTTACAGAGATAGCAGGAAACACTTGGGCGGCTTCCAGATATTCCATTAGCGCCCACATAATTTAATATTTCGTAAGTACTATGTAGGATTTTCACAGCATTAGTGCCGTGGGGGTTTCAAACACCCCCTTTCTAAAATAATAGACATATCAGCTAGTTCTTCATTTTCTTCTTATATATTGTCTTGAATGTTTTTTTCAGTTATTCTTTTTTTATGAATAAAAATGAAAAAAATATTTTGAAATAAAAGTTTGATTTGATTTGTTTGTTTAAAGGCACATCAACTCCTTATGGGTCATTTAATGCCGAAATTTAATTGGGGGTGGGGTTGAAGTAATAAAATATGATATATGTTATTCTGCTTTCACAATTGAATACATGGTAGATGATACTCAGGTTTTGTG